CTGCCAATGAACTGTTTTCCATTATCGCAAACGATTTCGGACGGTATGCTGAATCGACATATTATGTGGTCCCAGATGAAGTCAATGACCTCTTTTTCCCGGACCTTTTGAACGCTTGAGCTTCGACCCATTTGAAAAAATAATCAGTCATGAATAGTATGATTTGAGCCTTACCGGGTGCCCACGGCAGGGGACCGACGATGTCCATTCCCCATTTTTGAACGGCCATGGGGACAAGACCGAATGAAGCAGTTCTCCCGGTTGGTGGATTATTGGTGCGTGTCTCTGGCGGGCGTCGCATCTCCTTACAAAGTCCTTTGCTTCTTTCTCCATCCGGTCCAGTAATAGCCGGCCCTGATTAATTTCCGAACCAAAGATTCCGCCCCCAAATGGTTCCCGCAAGTGCCTTCGTGAACTTTCCTCCAGGCATCTTCGGTGTCTCCCGCCCCCAAGCATATGGCTAGCGGGCGGTCGAATGTTCTTCTGAACAAAGACCCTTCGGTCAAGCTAAATCTGCAGCCTACGTATGCAGAGCTCTCGATTCTTTGAGGTCCGAGGGCAATTTTCCAGTCATCAAGTAACCTATGTACTTGTTTCTCCAATCCCAAGTCAAACTTTTTGAGTTTACTTCGGCGTGGCCTTCTTCTATCACCGACTTCATTAGTTGTACCACTGTTCCCAAGCTGAACTCATCGGTGTCAACTGCCGACCCTAAATTGGCCAGAGCATCGGCCTTACTGTTCTAATCTCGTGGCACGTGCTGTAGGGTCCATTCCCTGAATTGATGCAATGTTACCTGTAATTTGTCTAAGTAGCTCCGCATCCGTTCCTCTTTCACTTCAAACGTTCCATTGACTTGATTTACTGCGAGGAGGGAGTCGCACTAGCTTCGATCACCTCGGCCCCAAGGTTTTTAGCTAATTCGAGACATGCAATCATAGCCTTAAAGTCAGTTTCATTATTAGTCAATTTTACAGTTCTAATAGATTGCCTAATTATACCCCTCGTAGGTGGTTTCAACACGATGCCGAGTCCGGACGCTTTTGCGTTCGAGGCACCGTTCGTAAAAAGGATCCAGATTCCTGAGGAAGTCCCCGAGGCTAATAATAATTCCTTTTTGACTGCGTGTATTAAGGCCGGCGTAAAGTCGGCTACGAAGTCTGCCAAATTTGTGATTTGATGGCGAATCAGGATTGATACTCGATATCGTACCCTCTAATTTCGATGGCCTATTTGGCCAATCGGTCCAAGAGCTCTGGTTTGTGCATGATGTTCCTTAGTGGGTAAGAGGTTACGACACATATGGGGTAGCATTGAAAGTATGGTTTTTAACTTTCTGGAGGTGTTTAGTAAAGCGATCTCCAATTTTTTCCAGGTGAGGATACCTTGTTTCGACCTCGCCTAGAGTTCTACTAACATAGTAAATAGGAAACTGCGTACCTTCCTCTTTCCAGACTAAGACTCCACTTACCGCCACCTCGGATACCGCCAAGGAAAGGTACAATTGCTCATCCGCCTTCGGAGTGTAGAGCATGGGTGGACTCGAAAGGTACCGCTTGAGTTCTTCCAAAGCTTGTTGACACTCTATGAAAAGTTATTCTTCTTCTTCAACAGTGAGAAGAATCGATGGCTTTTGTCTGAGAACCTCGATATGAACCGACCCAAGGCGGCTATGCGCCTGGTCAACCTCTGAACGGCCTTGACGTTGTCCACCACAGTGATGTCTTTAATGGCTTTGATTTTGTCAAGATTAATCTCGATCCCCCGATTGGACACCATGAACCCGAGAAACTTCCCCGATCCAACCCCGAAAGCGCACTTCTCCCTCTTCAGCTTCGTATTGTATTTCTTCAATATATCGAAGGTTTCCTGCTAATGTTTCAAATGATCCTCTGCGCGAAGGGACTTAACTAACATGTCTTTAATATAAACTTCCATTGATTTTCCTATCTGTTCTTCGAACATCCGGTTTACTAGGCGTTGATAAGTGGCACCGGCGTTATTTAATCCAAATGCATTACGTTATAACAATAGGTGACGAATTTAGTGATAAAGGATATTTTTTCTTGATCGCCCGGTTCTATCCGAATTTGGTTGTACCCAAATAGGCATCGAGAAAACTGAGTATCTCGTGCCTAGCCATCGCGTCGATCATACGATCGATGTTAGGCAAAGGAAAGGAATCCTTAAGGCATGCCTTGTTCATGTCTTTGTAATCTACACACATTCTTAGCTTATTTCCTTTTTTAGGCACTACCACTACGTTAGCTAACTAGCCCGGGTACTTAACTTCTCGAATGGACCCTATTTTAAGGAGTTTAGATACACCATCTGTGATGAATGCATGCTTGACCTTGGATTGAGGTCTTCTCTTCTGTTTAATCGGGTGGAACTTTGGGTCCAAACTCAGCTTATGAGTGGCTTGTTCCAATTCTTCGACCTTTGACTTGGTGGCGTCGGTATCATCAGGAGTTATGAATGATCTCGGAACTCCGTAGTCATCCTCCTCATTGACTCCTCGTTCCTTCGATCCGACCGGGACTGGCATCGGTGATTGCTATTTAACTTCGGCCTTTCTGGTCGGCACTGCGCTTTTTACTGCCGAAACAGCTGGTACCCGGAGTACTTCATCGACTGCAAACATCTCCTTTGCACCCGACTGTTCTCCGTATATTTTCTTGATCCCTCCCGGTATAGGGAACTTCAACGCCTGGTGCAAGGTTGAAGGTACCGCTCTCAAGTTGTGAACCCATGGTCTTCCGAATAGAGCATTATATCTCATATCCCATTCAATCACATAGAAGCTCGTTTCCTGGATGGTCCTGGCGGTGTTCACTGGTAGGGTTATCTCCCCTTTAGTGGTTTCACATGCCATGTTAAATTCATTCAACACCCGAACTGCTGACACTATTTGATCTTGTAAAACCAACCGCTATACGACCCTCGATTTGATGATGTTGGCGATCAATCAACACACGCTTAACTCGAGATTTATTGATAAGTACAAATATTACCAGTGCATCATTATGAGGTTGTACAATGCCTTCGGCATCCTCGTTGAATGAAATGGTTCCCTCTGGGATATAATCTCGTGTGCGTTTCTCCCTCGTGATAGATACTTTAGTGCGTTTTATCATCGACACTTGAGTGACATCAACCCCTCCAATGATCATGTTGACGACACGCTGAGGTTCTTCTTGTTCGGTCTGTTTTGTTGGAGTCCCTGTTCCTGAAGTGATTTTTGGCTAGATCACTCTGGAATTACCGGAGATGCCCGTTATTGAACAACCGAGCCACTTCTCTTAATTGTCGACAGTCCTCGGTCCTGTGGCCATGAGTGCCATTATACTTACACATCAAGTTAGGGTTTCTCTGGGTAGGGTCGGACTACAATGGTCAAGGCCACTTGGTATCCTTGATGTGCCCGATGGCTGATACGATGCTGGCAGCATCGACGTTGAAGTTATATTCCGATAATCTTGGTGCCTCCCTGGTCCCAAGTGGCCTATCGAAATTGTTTTTGCTCATCAGTCCCCGGCTACTGTGGCCTCGATCGTTTCTCTTTTCGTTCCTCGTAGGGTGACGCCCAGACCCGTTACCCCTTCGATCTCCGCCATATGGTTGATACCGGTATCTGCTCGGTCTCGGTTCCTGATTGACGACTCTCTTATACCTGTCATTGGTTCTGATGGGATGAACGAACCCAGAAGGGTCCCCGAGCTGATCGGTCTTGGTTCCTGATCGACGACTCTCTTATACCTGTGGGATGAACGAACCCAGAAGGGGCCCCGAGCTGATCGTCCTTGACTTTGATATTTGACTAGTACCTGTTGTGGACGTCGGCCCAAGTTACCGCCGGGTACTCTACCAAATTTTATTTTAACTGATGTGAAGCCAAGGAGCTTTGGGGGGTTAAGTCTTTGAGTGAACGCCTGAACGGCCCAATCATTCGCAACCTGAGGCAAGTCCATCTGTTCCATTTGAAACCATGATACGAACTCCCTGAGCATTTCGTTGTCTTTTTGCTTTACCTTGAAAAGGTTCGATTTTCTGGTCTCGACCTTGATGACCCCGGCATGTGCTTTCACAAAAGCATCTGCAAGCATATCAAACTAATTAATAAAATTTGGGGGTAAGGTTTGATGCCATATCATTGCTCCTTTTGACAGAGTTTCTCCGAACTTCTTTAGCAAAACCGACTCGATTTCGTCATCTTCCAAGTCGTTCCCCTTGATGGCACATGTGTAGGAGGTCACATGCTCATTTGGATTGTGGTTTCGTTATATTTCAAAATATCGGGCATACGAAACTTCTTCGGGATTAGCTTCGGTGCCGCGCTCGGAGGAAAAGGCTTTTGGACAAATTTCTTGGAGTCCAGGCCTTCAGTATCGGGGGCGCTCCTGGGATTTGATCGACACGGGAATTATATGTCTCTACCTTCTTGTCGTTTGCCTCAATTTTCTTTTCACCTGACTCCACCCGTTTGGTTAGTGCTTCAAGTATTTTCATTACTTCGGGGCTGACACTGGTCTCAGTTTTACCTGGCCTTTCGGTAGCCTGCTCATTTCTTCGGGTGTTTTCCCGGGATGGTTCGGGTTCGACCTTGCTGGGGGCGCGACTTTGATTTTGCAGCCGCGCTTTCGCCGTCTGTTGGGCCTGTAACATTTCGAAGATTACCCGCAGACTAACCTGGTCGCCTTCGCCTTTGGGCGTACCTCAAGCCGTTGGTCGGGCTCCTCCACGAACGTTGTTCTCAGGGTCGGTATGCATGTTGGCGTTCCGGTTTCGATTTCCAACCCCATGTAATTTAGGTTTTGCATTGTTTGACCCACCGGAATATCGGGGTGTAGGGCACCCCCGGTTTTGCCCGTATACCGTCTACTCAACCAACAAGTGGAACGTTCGTTATTATTCAGATGAGCATATCTAGAATGATATCATCTTTTTATTTTTTATTTTTTTAAATAATAAAATATGTTGTTGCTTTCATTATCGTGCAGGCGAGCAGTTCAGATGCCATTAGGGTTGATGTGGCTGTAGTGGACCAGTATTTGACAGTGTCTGCTGCTAAATTGAAAGGTCTTTTTCCAGATTGGATGGATGTGACTGCATTCTCAAGTTTTATGTCCACCTATGTGTTGTAGTCCTTTTTTTATTTCCTTTTTGGGTGTATCATATAGCATAGCCTTGTTTTTACTTTTCTTATTTACCTCCTTATTCCTTTTAAATAAAAGAAGTTTGCTTAGAGCTTGTGTTACTTTCTCTTTCAATAAAAGCTAATTGCTGGCGAATGACAATTTATTGTAATTTGTGAAGGTTAAAGTTGTCAAATTTTGTACCCATAATATTTGAAGTGCTTAAAGGAAAATTTAGTTTTAAAGGTTGAATATTGCCTTTCTGCTCAAACCTTAGTGTATCGGAGGAATTTGTATTGGAACATAAGCGATTAACGATATATAGGAGTGGCAAACGGGCGGGTCGGGTCGGATATGGTTTGGGTTGAAAACGGGTAATGATAAAATGTATAAATTATCCGATCCAATTCATATTTATTATGTATAAAAAATGGGTTTACCGGCGAATAATATGAGTAACCATATTATCCATGACTTCTTGTATATGATCACTTTTGGGAGAATTCCTAGTCTCCCTAATTTGAGGAGCTCCCAATTTGAGGTTTTAGAAATGTAAAAGTTAGACCAATTGGTTACCCATTTTCTAAATGGATAATATGGTTCTTATTCATGTAAAGTTTATTATCCAACCAATTTTTAAGTGGATAATATGGGTGGTTAACTATTTTCTTTTTACAATCTTTAGGTTGACGAATAAAATGTATATATTACCGTGTAAACTGGTATACATATGATAAATCCTAATAATACAAATATTGTTCGTTGGGACGTGCTCATTTACGCACGCATTACATCGGCACTCAAATATGATACAGGCTTGGGATTTCATAATTTTTCTGCTTCTTGTATGTGAGGGAGTATGAGTTAGGATTTCAGCATCATGGACCCCATGGGTAAAGAAATTAGTTTCGCCACATTAGGTTGCGGATGTAGTGAAAAATATGAAAAGGACCTCCCATTAAGGGAAGTATGGATAAAGAAAGTAGTCTTACCGTATCAGCATTCAAATGTGGTACAAATAGGAAAGTGTTCCTGCCTTACGGACGGAGGAGGGTAAGAAGCTAGATCAAGAGAGTCGAAAACGGGTAATTAGTTGGAAAATAGGTTTTTTTTTTTGGGGACATTACATAATTTATCTCCCTAGGTTATCTTACTCTATTAGTTACACCTTCATACTTTATGGGATATCGTATGATCCTCCTGCATTTGTTTGAAGTGTAATAAGTATTACTGGTATAAACTTGTAGTAACCTGAAACAAATGATTACGGACTCAAGGAACCAACACTGACTTGAATGATAACAACATCAACGAAAGAGAAATAAGGAAAAAAAATAGTAGAAAGAGGGAGGTTCTAGAGCTAACCAAATCTATGATAATGATAAAAGACAAGACTCATTTTCCATAAAACCTACATACTAATCTCCTCCTAATTTATATAGTAGACTCCTCCTTATGTTCCTTTCTCTGCTGTTGCCTTATCTCTAACGAAAATTTCAGCCTTGTCCTTTGTAGGGACAACAAAGTTGTCTAGGTCTTTTGGTGGATGTACTATCATGTTGCTGCGCCTCTGCCCTGTCTGTCCTTTAGTGTAATTCGTTACATTACCATTCCCTTGAAGTCGAACCTTGTCCCCAAGGTCATCTTAGGAAACTTGCATTAGATAGAAAAAGTGTCTTCCCAGGTAGCCTCAATGGACGACAGTCCCGACCAACTGATTAAACATTAATCAACCTGATGATATGGACGCAACCTTATGTACACCTGTCACCTACTGCAAATGAAATGTCATGCCTACCTTTGTCACCTAGGAGCTTCATTCTATCTTGGGCTACTACGAGATTGTCTCTGAGGATTGCTAATGTCTCATCGCGTTGGCAAAAAAATTCCACCACAACTGGATTACTAGAGGAATCAGTCACAAATCGGATAATAGAGGGTGGAGGTCTACCATACACGACCTCGAAAGGAGTCAATTTGAAGCTGTGTTGAAAGGAAGTGTTGTACCAAAATTCAGCCCAAGGAAATAGTTTAGACCAAACAGCAGGGGTATCGACAGGGAAGCAGGGAAGATACATTTCTAAACACTTGTATAGAGCTTCAGTTTGGCCCTCGGTTTGAGGGTGATATGCCGAACTTTTGGCCAATTGAGTACCATGGATTCTGTTGATTTCTTTCCAATAAATCAGATAAGAAAATGGGGTCCCTGTCAGTGATGATCTTGGAAGGAAACCCATTAAGTCTGATATATTCTTGGACGAAGAATTCAGCAACCTTCTACAAAGAAAAGTTAGGAGGCAGAGCAACAAAGTGGCCATACTTAGAGAGTCTATCCACAATTACCAAAATCGCATTACAACCATTAGACGAGGGTAAGCAGTGATAAAGTCTATTGATATTTCCTCGAAGATTGACTCTGGTTGGGGAAAAGGCTGAAGCAATCCTGCTGGCTTGAAAGAAGAATCCTTCATTTGTTGGTAGACTTGAAGCATGAAATTCATGAAGCAACATGAGACGAATATCCTATTCTAGTGGAATTACCAACTTATTGTGATAGAATAAGAGGCTCTGGTGGAAGGAGAAAAAGGGAAGAGAAGCAAGGTCATTCTCAAGTTGACGTTGAAGCTCCAATAATGTAGGATCAGACTTGTTTAAAGTTTGCAACCTATCCAGCAATGCAAATTCAGTGAAAGTAGTGGAGAAAAATTTGGAAGTAGGGATGCATCAACAGTAGAATTAAGTTTTTCTAGTCCAATAATGATATCAAAGTCAAAGCCAATGAGTTGCAAAGCCGTTGTTGTTGTTCCGAGGTCTGAATTACTTGATTGGTGTGGGACTTTAGAGGTTGCGATTAAGATTTGCGACCCGAAAATATTGACACCATTTTTGTACTGCCTGAGTGATTGTGAATATTGATGATATGTGGACGCAGCTTACATGCGAGGAGAGAGTTTCTGGCTAAAGAATGCAATTGGGTGACGATCTAGAGACAACACCGCTCCTATGCCGGTATTGGAAGCATTAGTTTCCACCGAAAAAACCTTTTAAAAGTTCGGCAAACATAACACTAGGACAGAGCTCAAAGCATTTTTTAATTAGGTATTCTCGACCTCAGTCCACCGGAAAGCATATATTTTCAGAATATCCATCAGTGGAGGTGCTAATTGAGCATAACTTTTGACCAAGCGACGATAATAACAGGTAAGAACTAGAAATCCTCGTACCCCCTTGATAGAGGAAGGAGCAGGCCACTAATTGATGACTTCGATTTTCGAGGGATCGACCTGATGGCCTTTCGCCGAGATGATGTGGCCAAGATAGTCAATGGAGGTTTGTACGAACTTGCACTTGGAGCGTTTGACAACTAAAGTGTGTTTGCGGAGCAAGTTAAACACCAATTCGAGGTGTCAAAGATGAGCAGGCCATGAATTGATGTATATCAAAATATCGTCAAAGAAGACGAGTACGAATCGACGAAGAAATGGCTTAAGAATGCAAGGCATAACAATGAATTCATAGTATCCCTCGTATGTGCGAAAGTCTATTTTCTCAATATCATGCGGGAGAACTCTGATTTGATGATACCCAGCTAGTAAGTCCAATTTGGGAAAGAAATAAGCATCGTGTAACTCATCAAATAGTTCATAAATAGTAGAAATTGGAAATCGATTCTTTCTGGAGATAGAGTTCAATTCTCGGTATCAACACAAAAAAGCCGAGTACCGTCCTTCTTACGAACGAGAAAAACAGGAGATGAATTCGAACATGAACTTGGCCGTATGATACCTAATTGTAACCTTTCAACAGTGAGACGTTCTATTTATATTTTCTGGAAATGAGGGTAACGATAATTAATGGGTGTTGAACGTTGTAAGAGAGGTATTTAGTGCTCTTGTGGTCTAGAGGGAGGTAGGAATGCAGATTGAGCAAGTATATCAGAATAAACATCAAGAAGATTATTGAGGTTAGGTGGTAGGTCAGTGGTAGAAGAAGATGTATGCAACACTAGGTTTAATTGGAAGAACAAGAAATAAAGTTTGTGGATTGGAGCCGGCGAAGTGCCTGCAATTGGACTTGTTCCACAACTGACCAGCATTGCCCGTCCAACTTCTTAACCTTGGGCTTGGAACTCAAAGACTCGAGTGGCATAGTTAATAACAGTGCTGCCCAAAGTTGGCGACCAAAATACACCTAAAATAATATCAGCACATGCGAACTCAATGAAGAAGAAGTCCTTATAAGAGTGTAGTCTTGAATTGTTAAAAATAAGGCCTTGATGACGCCCAAACATTTCAAGCGACTTCGATTTCCAACTATAATTGAAGATTTGAATGAATATTCAATTGGAAGATTAAGAAATTTGGCTATTCTAGGTGTATGAAGTTATGAGTACTACCCTGATCCAAAAGGACCTGCATTGCGTTGCCATTCACAGAGCCGCTAAAATGCAATGTGGTCGAAATTTTGCCCCCGGATAAAGCCATGTAGCTGATAGATGCTATACGGTCGTCCTCAACCAGTGGTGGTTCTTCTATTGAGTCAGCAAAAGGATTATTAGGTGGGTCTAATGTAGGGTCAGAATGTTCTTCGTCACAGATGAGAAGAAACAATTGCGGCGGTTTGGTACAACGGTGACCTTTGACCCATTTTCCATCACAATTGAAGCAAAGATTGAGGTCACATTTGTGTTGGAGCTCCACTAGGGACGATTTCTCGTACGGTATACAACCTAGCCCTGGGATCGAGGCTGTCGGCATTGTGGTTGGTGGCAGTGCAAAGGTGTTAGTCAGAGGTGTAGTTGGTTTGGGGGGGGGGAGGGGGGGGAAATGGTGGAGTTTGGTGAAAGAGTTGAACTGAACCTGGGAAAAGATGTGACGTAAGAGTTGGCATTTGGCCGGAAGGAAGAACTAGGAGTGAGAGAGGCATTTTGGCTTGAAAAAGCGAGGTTGATAGCTTCATTTAAATATTTGTATCCGAAGGAAAGGACCCCACTCTTAATATTAGGTCGGAGCCCAGAGGTGAAACAATGGAGCAGCATATGCGTGGCCACATTAGTGGTTTGATTAGCCAAATTCTCATACTGAGTCAAATATTCTTTCACTATTGATGGCATCTACTGTTTTTCCAATAAACTTCTGGCGCCTCCAACAATTTAGGGCTAAAACAAACAAGCAAGGCTTTGGTGAATTGATCCCAACTATAAATTTGACCATTCTTGTGCATCAAACGATACAATTCACGAGCT